GGCGACACAGCCAGATCTCCTTGTGCAGGCTGCCCTGCAGGAAAGCAGTGCTGAAGTCAAGAGAGTGCAGCTCGTAGTCACGGTGAGCAGCTATGTGCAGCAGTACCCGAAGAGTGGTCATCTTCGGGGTGGGAGAGAAGGTCTGAAAGTAGTCAACTCCCTGCCGCTTACCGAAGCCACGAGCCACGTAACGCGCCTTGAAGACAGGCGGAGAGCCCGGCGGCCGCTTCACCATGAGAATCCACATGCCACTGACGATGTTCGCCCCAGGCGGGGAAACCTCGTCAACGTAGGTGCCTGTGGACTTCCAAGAAGCCATCTCTGCGTCCATAGCTGCCTGCCACTGAGAGGAGTAGGGACCCTCTATCGCCTCCGCGTAAGAGCGCGGAGTCGGGATGTCAAGTGCATCCGGGTCTCCCTCAGGGGTAAGCAGTACGGACACGAGATGAGGTGAAGCAGCAGCCAAACACTGGAAATCCTCCTGCCTGTCCTCAAGGACGTCCGTGCTAAGGGCACACCCACCCCCGACGGACGGAGGACAGACAGACTAAGACTCAGCAACAAGACTAGCAGCGTAGTCTAGGCGACAGCGAGCAGCAAAGTCGACGAGCTCAGCAACTAGGGCAGACGCAACAGTGGACTCAAAGGAAGGGTCAGTGACAACAGTAGCAAGGAGACGCGTGACAGTAAGACTGGCAGCACGAAGAGAGTCCGACTACGGGTCGACAAGAGCAGGAAGAGAGGACTCAGGAGGAGAAGGCAAAGGGGCACGCAGAGGAGCAGTGGACGGACGCAGAGACATTCGGTACGTGCCAAGGACAGGAGGAGGACGCTGACGCGAACCACGACCACTAGCGCGAGCAGCACGGACAGGCAACGCAGGGCGAGACGCAGGCTCACGACGCTCAGCAAGACCTCCAGTAGGACCAGTGTAGGGCGAAGGAGCAGGCATTGGGGAGGCCGGCTATAACTGTAACTGTGACGGGACAGGCTGTGGACACTCTAAGTGAGGACGAGGACCAGTAGAAGGCGGGAGACCAAGAACCTGCTCAAGGAGCGGAACGAAGTACAGTCGAGGCCGCGCAGCGACTCTTGACACAGCAGGGACAGCACCAGTACCCCCAGTGGTAGCACCAGCGCCAGCAGCACCTCCAGCTCCAGTACCTCTAGCAGCACCAGTAGCACCCCGAGCAGGACCGCCTCCAAGACCGACAATAGTAGCCTTAGCGCCAACACCCACAGCAGCTCCAGCTCCAGTCGGACCACGAGAAGACGCAGTGGCACAAGCTCCAGTAGTACCCGCAGGCCCAGCAGCTCCAGTACTCCCAGTACGAGCACCTCCGGGACCCGCGGCACCAGCACCCTCAGCAGCCGAAGAACGTCCAGCTCCAGCAGCATGCCTCCAACGCCGGGAAAACAACTCGCGCAGCTCCTGTGGAGAGAGTGGCTCTCGCCGAGACGAAGCACCCGGAGAACCTCCAGGCACAGTATCGCCAGACGCCACACGAGCAGGCCCAGCTCCCTCAGGCTCCGTACCCCTAGGCTCAGCACCTCCAGGCGTAGCAACCCCACGCTCAGCACCCCAAGGCTCAGCACCCCCAGGCTCAGCACCCCCAGGCTCAGCACCCCCAGACTCAGCACCCTCAAGCTCAGCACCCCCAGGCGTAGCACCCACACGCTCAGCACCGCCAGAGTCAGCACCCCCAGGCTCTGCACCCTCAGCAGCACGAGAGTCACCAGCAACCTCGACAGGCTCGACTGCGTCTACCTGGGACACACCTGAAGGGGCAGGGCCCTGAGAGGGAAGGGGGTCTACCGGGGGGGGACCTCGCACAAGGAAGAGCGGTGGGGGGGGAGGGACGGAGTGCGGTAGGGGAAGAGGCGGTAGTAGGGGACCGACTCGTCAAACGTGACGTCCTGGGAGGACAGAACACGGCGAGAGGTGGGGTGGTAAAACTGCCACCCTGGCGCGTCAGGGGGGGAAACCCAGGAAGACGCAGGGAGCAGCACGAGGGGACAGCTTGTCCGCAGACAAGTCGTGGACAAATGCCCGAGATCCCCAGACACGGAACGCAGACGCATCGCCAACCTTCCCCGTCCACAGCAAAGTTGGGGAGGTCTCCGGCATGGAGACCCTGGGCTGAAGGTTGATCTGATGCGCCGCGTACCGAACCGCAAACGGCCACAGAAAATGGGGGGCGGCCGCATGCATCATGGACGTACGGGCGACGTCCATGACCATGCCAATGCGGCGCTCAGCAATCCCATTTTGCTGTGGAGAGTCCGGAAGCGTGAAGGTCTGGCGGATGCCTCGTGCACGACAGTAGGCTTGCAGAAGGCCAGAGGAGAACTCTCCGCCTCTGTCAGAGTGCAGACGCAGAACAGGAAAGTCCGAGCCGAAGCTCTGCCTCAGCTGGAGACGAGCTGCGCGGATCCAGTCGATCAACACCTCAGTGACATCACCCTTGCTGCGCAAGGGGAAGACCGTGGTGTAACGCGAGTAGTCGTCAACCACCAGCAGGAAGTAGCGCTCGTGACCCTGTCCACGGACGCGGGCCGGGCCCCACACGTCCATGTGAAGCGTCTGCAGCGGGGCCTCTGTCGGAGGAAACTGGGAGGAGTGAGGGGCAGCCCGCTGCCGCCCCTCGACAAAGGGGACGCAGGCAGGGGCAGGCCCCAGCGGAAGGGGAGGGAGGGACCGGGGAAGACCAGAGACAAGGACACGGGAGGCCATGCCTCGGAGATGAAGCAGGGAGGGGTGACCAAGGCGGTGGTGCCAGAGGAGAGTCTCGTGAGACAGGAGGCGATATGAGCAGGGGGCAGACTCAGGACCAGACCTGGACGCTGCAGCAAACACCTGACCCGACGCAGCTACCTGACCAGATGCAGTGACTGGAGGAGACTCACTGGTCAGTGTGTACAGGCTCGACCCCGACCGACGTGTAAACGTGGCCAGGTGTCGGCCTGTCCGAGCGTCCGTGCAGTGGGTCACCCGCTGGCTCGTAGGAGTGAACTGGTGAACCCCCGCATCCTATAGGTCAGCACCACTCACCAAGTTCGTAGAGAACGAGGGGAGGTAAAGACCAGACAGGGTGCCAGAGGGGGCCGCCGGACATGGGAGGACAGTGGAGAAGTGAGCAAGGACAGGACCCCCAGAGGGGTCTGCCACAGAGACTGCAACCGGCCGACCAAGCGGCGTGAGTGTGGTGCGGTCTCGAAAGAAGGAGCGAGAAGCCCCCGAGTCATGGGTGAAGGTGTGGGAGGCCGAAGCCGACGCAATACCTGAGAGAGCAGACTCACCAGCACCTGAGGAAGCAGACGCACTAGCACCTAGAGCAGCAGCCTCGCTAGCACCTAGAGCAGCTGCCTCACCAGTACCTAGAGCAGCAGTCTCAATGCCCGGGCCGGGCGGAAAACACCGGTAACAGTCACCCTCATCACTAATAGTCACAGCATACATGGTAGCAAGAATAGCATCAAAGTCAACTTCAAAGATAGCTACTCCTGCCCTAGACAGCTCGCCCCATCGAGGGATCTCACTGGCCTCAGGGAACTTGTGACGCCAAGCGTCCGTCAGGTGGCCAAAGCAGCGCTGGGTGGAGTGCGCACCCCCGCACTGCTCACCCGCGCGGTCGCCGGTGCGTATGACGTAGGTGCACAGACCAGTACCCCCACCCCGCTGGCGTGCAGCGTACCACTCACGGAGCTGCTGAGGGGGGGGGATGTCCCGAGTGCGCTGCTGCTGCTGGCGCTAACCACCACCGGAGCCGACCCTCTGCGCAGCGCCACTACGACCAGCTCCACCTCCTCCGCCGCTGCCTCCTCCACTGCCGCCACCTCCGCCACCTCCGCTCCCACCGCCACCGCCGCCTCCTCCGCCTCCACTGCCGCCACCGACACCTCCACCCCCGCCACCACCCCCACCGCCACCCCCACCTCCTCCGCCGCCTCCACCGCCGCCTCCACCGCCCCCGTTAGCTCCTCCAGCGCCCTTGCCCCCCTTGCCCTTGCTAGGGCGGCGTTTCCCGCTAGAGGTAGACGCCGCACCGACCGACTCAAGACCAACGAGGTCGGCCGCAACAGTAGAGGCAACAGAGGGCAAGAGATGAGAGGGGGAGCCCCCTTCAAAGACAGGGGCGCGCGGGTCACCACGAGAGGCTCCTACAGCGACTATGCTCTTCTCTGCTGCTAGGAGGCGCTCCTCGAGGAGGTCAACGGTGAGGGTGGTGGGGCAAACAGAGAGAAAGTGGTCCCTGACCGGGCGAAGGGTGTCAGGGAGGCGGGTGACTATGTAGTAGAGGGTGATGTACATAAGGGGGGGGGGGTTCTTGGCGCAGAACTCATCGGGAAGGGCAGCGCGGTAGCGAATGTCACTAGTGCGAAGGTGCGTAATGAGGTCAGCGACTGTGGGAAAAGCTGCGAGGTCAGGGAAGAGGTACGGCAGGATGAGGCGGCTAAGTGCAGCAGTGGGAGGGGAAGAGTAGCGTGCAACTACAGCGTCGTACAAGGTCTTAGCACTCTTGTACTGGCTAAAGTGCGCACGCTCAGAGGTATGCAAGTGGCGACGCACAGCAAGACGTGCAGCAGCATCGCGTGTGGCCCACTGTGAGCGAACAGTGGCGTTAGCATCAGCAACAAGGGCAGAAGAGGCACCAAAAGAGAGGTCAAAGAGGGAGAGATCGTCTCCCCTATCGCACTGGAGGAAAAGCTGCAGGTCATCTACCCAGTCGTCAAAGTCAATGGCCCGACCCTCAGCGTCAAAAGCGAGGACACTGGGGGTAGCCATGACAGCAGTAGACTAGCAGCGCGAGCAGTAGGGTAAGGGCAGCGCATTGGTAGAGGTGGCGCTCTTACCGGACAGGGCGGCTCGGGCGGCTCGGCGGCTCGGCGACTCGGTGGCTCGGGCGGCTCGGCGGCTCAGCTGGTTCGGCGGCTCGGCGGCTCGGGCGGCTCGGCGGCTTGGGTGGCTCGGCTGCTGCAGGGGCAGCGGCGGTTGCTGCTCACGGGATGGCGGCGGCCGCTGCTGCAGCGACGGCGGCAGTTGCTGCTGCAGGGGCGGCGGCGGCCGCTCCTGTAGGGACGGCGGCGGCCGCGGCTGCAGTGGCGGCGGGTGCTGCTGTAGGGGCGGCGGCTGCTGCTGCTGCTGGGACGGCGGCCGCGGCCGCTGTAGCGACTGCGGCTGCTGCTGCTCCAGAGGCGGCGACGGCGGGCCGAGAGAGGCCGCGAAGGGCAGCGGACGGGCCGTGAAGGGCGGCACGAGGGGCCGCGGAGGGCGGCGACCGGCCGTGAAGGGGCAGCGAGGGGGGGGGGGGGGGGGGGAGGGGCCGTAAGGGCGGCGCGAGGGGCCGCGAAGGGTGGCTCGAGGGGCCGTGGAGGGCGGCGACGGGCCGTAAGGGTGGCGCGAGGGGCCGCAGAGGGCGGCGACGGGCCGTAAAGGGCGGCGCGAGGGGCCGCGAAGGGCGGCGACGGGCCGTAGGGGGCCGTAAGGGCGGCGCGAGGGGCCGGAAGGGCGGCGCGAGGGGCCGTAAGGGCGGCGCGAGGGGCCATAAGGGCGGTGCGAGGGGCCGTAAGGGCGGTTGGAAGGGCCGTCAGAGGGGCCGTTAAGGGCAACGCGAAGGGGCCGTAAGGGGCCTAGAGAGGGCGCGACGGAAGGGAGGGCACGCGGGGCGCGACTCGGGCAGGAGCGAAGCGCGCTCCGGGCAGGATTTTTTTTTTTTCGATTGGGTGGGCCCTAGGAAGCGTTCCCACGAGGGAACCCGCTCTATACCATGAGAAATTACGAGGAATGAAAATGACTAAGGGAAAGTTGGGTACAAGTACAAACCCTAGAAAGTTGTACCCCATATGTGCTACCCCACTATAGCCTACATTAGCTATGTCATATAAATCTGACAGTTGAGTCTTCTCTCATAGCTGCTGCATGGTGGTGACGAAGTCATGTGCGGCTTGGACGTGTGCCGGTGTGGTTGGCTGCTCTGGTGTAAGTGGTTCCCGTCCATAGCACAGGAAGAAAGGAGATTTCCCTGTGACCACATGTGACGGGTTGTTGTAAGCGAACTCAGGTATCGGTAACTGTGAATCCAAGTGGCTGAGGTCGTCTTTGCAAGCGGTGCGCAGTAACTGTTCAACCACCTGATTGAGTCGCTCTATCTGTCCGTCGGTCTGGGGGGTGGTATGCTGAAGACATCGCAAGCTTCGTCCCCAACAATCCCATGAGTTCCCTCCTGAACTTACTAGTGAACTTAGGGGCTCTGTCTGAGATGAGCGTAGCGGGGATGCCGTGGATGTTGAAGAAGAGGCGAGCAGTTACTTCAGCTGTAGCCGTGGCGTTGGTCGGGATAAAGTGTCCCATTGTAGAGAACTTACCGATCACCACGAGTATAGCGTCATGCCCTCGTGAGGTCGAAGGTAGCCCAGTGATGAAGTCTAGGTTGACGACTTGCCCTGGCTGCTCCGGTACGGTAGAGGCTGAAGTAATCCCGCTTTTTTCTGCTTGCTGCTCTTCATCCGCTGGCACGTGTCGCATGAGGTGACGAACTCCTGTACGTCTGCTGCCATCCGGGGCCAGTAGTAATACGTCGCTATCCCTGCTAACGTCTTGTTGCTCCCAAAATGTCCCGCTTACTGTACGTCATGAAACTCCTCCAGTAGAATCTGTCGGAGCGGGGCGTAGTTCGGTACCCAAATCTTTCCTGATCCCTTTCTTACAGCTAAGTCTGTCTCCCACTGTAACAGCTTCTGTTTCTCTGCCGTAGTAATCTCTGCGTCCACGGAGTACCCATATTGGAATAGACCCTTGAGCAGAGGGTTCATCCCGTCGAGCTGGATGCCTGCTACATATCCGGGGTGGCTCAACGCGTCTGCTTTGTTGTGTAGCTCGGGCTTGTAGACAATGTTGTATTGGAAGTGGGTCTCCAAGAAGTCCAACCACCGCACCTGTCGTCGTGAGAGCGTCGGCTGCGACTTCAGGTATTTGAGGCTGCAGTGTTCAGTGTAAACTGTAGTTTTGGCTCCCTCCAGGTAACACCTCCACGCCTTGAAGGCTATGAAAATCACTAAAGCTTCTTTGTCATGGATTGGGTACTTCAATTTTGCTCCGTGTAGCTTCTTAGTGAGGTAGGTGATGGGTTGCAAACTGCGTGCGTGATGCTGCATCAGTACTGCTCCAACTGCTTGGTCACTAGCGTCTGCTTCCACCACGTAGTCTTTGTCTGGATCCGGTAGGATGAGTACTGGCGCTTTAGTCAGTGCTGTCTGTAGCTGCTCCATGGCTTGCTGTTGAGGAGTATCCCATTTGTAGGGCGTATCCCGTTTCAGTAGGTCGGTCAGTAGCGCTGCTGTCTTAGTGTACTGTGGCACGAACCTGTTGTAGTAGTTGGCGAAGCCTAGGAACTGCTGCAACTCTTTCACTTTCTCATGATCTTTCCATGTTAGGAGGGGTTTCGCTTTTGGTTCCTCCATGATCTCGTGCTCGTGGGTGCGTGCTGGAGGTACTCCTGCAGGTAGATTGTCTGGCATGATGTCCTTGTATTGCTCCAATACCTCCTTCTCTACTGCATGTGGCTTTGCGTTCGGCTTCTCCTCTGCTGCTGTCATAACCAGTACTAGGTAGCCCGTGTTACTCTCGTTCACCATCCGTTCGAACCGTGCCAGTGTCGTTTCAAGAACATCTCCTCTATCTGTCCAGCTTTGTAGCTCTACACGTTTCCCATTGTTGTAGATGCACGCCTTCCGGTTGACCCTGTCAATCTCGGGGTTGAACCGCTTCAGAAAATCACGTCCCAAGATGAAATCTAATCCCTTGATGTTCGTGGTCGGCAACCTCGGCTTCCACCATAACGCTCCTATCTGCATTTGCAGTGTTGACTCGCTGTGGATGGGAAGCTTCATACCGTCCACCATCGTTGCTACAAACTGGGTCTCTTCTCAGGATTCTCCAATTTTCTCCAATGTCCCGCGGTCGCACACCGAGTGGGACGCACCACTGTCCACCTGGGCCTGGAGGCGTCGCCCGTTGTAGATCACCTCGAGTACTAGTGGTTGTTGCTGCTCCGAGTAGCTATAGATGGTGTTGCTTATAGGATCATAGGGTAGACCAATGTATCATCCCTTGGTCCTGCGCTCGAAGCTGCAGCTTCAATATCAGTTTTCAACTGAGAAATGTTAGAAGGATTTATCCGAGGCCGATTCAGCTTCTCTTGGGCCGGGAACCTTCCCCTAAGCCTTTGCAGCTGTGTAGACTTCATCTGTGGGGAACAGGGAGCCTTTAAACAGTGCTGCTCAGAGAGAATATTAACTCCTCGGAATGCTCGACCCTTATTAGCGCTCCGAAGTAGGGTCCCCATCTTACTCGGTACTGGTTTAATTTCTGACTCTCCCTTAATAAAGGCTTGAAACTCACGAGAAGTAATATTCTTACTTGTCCGAGTGTACGGCTGGAGTTTCTCGGTCGGTGCAGGCTCTTGTTTCGCGGATCCTCCTTTAGTCTCGGCGATTTCCCCTGGTGCTGGCTGGTCGTGACGTTTCAAATTCACACCATCATATTCTCATTTTTTCGCCCTCTCGGAAGTTGTCACGTCTTCAGTTTTTTGCTTCGGGGATGCCGCACTGTTCTTGTTCCTCAGTTCCGCACGCCATTTCTTCATTTTCCAACACGCCAAGATACGATTTCCTGTAGTGCCGCAAAATTTGCACGTCTCATTTTTGCTAGCCGCTGCTCCACATCGCCCTTGTCGTTCTCCATCGGGTCGGCAGTAGTGGGTGGTGCCAATCGCCCCATGCCACTATTTGGCTTGTTGCGTCGTGTTCCATAGTAGCTACTGTTCAACGGGTCGAACTGTTCGATGAGTGCTGCACGGAACTGCGCCCACGTCCCTTCGCCTTGGACTATACTGTTGTTGTTCCACTCTAAAGCTGGGCCTCGTAACAGTGTTGCTGCGAGCCGTATGCGCATTGCGTCTTTTGTCGGGGTCGTGCATCCAACGGCTTCGTAGTAAATTTCGAGTTCAACTACAAATCGACGAAGTCGTTACGTTTAACTGTAGGATCGAACGCCTACGGTAGCCTCGGCTTCACTGCTTCGGGGTTAATTGTAGCTGCTGCCGTTGTCGCAGGTAGAATTGTCGATGTCGCCGCTGCTGCTTCTGCTGCTGCTGCTGTCGCTGCTGCATTCGCTACTGCTGTGGCGGTTGCCGACTGGTTCGCAAGGAGTTTCTTGAGTCGTGGGAGCGCCGCACGTATCTGCTTATGCTCGGCACGTAAGTCCGCGATTTTCTGTACTGAAATATCTCTTTTTCTTTCAATTTGGCGATTTACAGGAAGATGAGCGACGAAAATAATCGAATTCTAGGTGCTGGTCGACTTACTGCGAGTCGAGTTGACTGTAGAATCAACGAGCACGAATTCTATAAGTCGCGTTAATCTCCCTTAAACGAAATTTGCGCTCGATCTCGGCCGTTGAGAAAAGACTCGATCCGACGCTCCAAATTCCAACGTTTTTGGGCAAAACTCTTTGGGCCGTTCAGATGAAACTCGATCGAACGGTCGAAACTCCAACCTTTCACCAATAAATCTGAGGGTTGTTCGAAAACCGAATCGAGGAGGGCTTAACAAAATTGCGCGGAACTGGGTTTACAAACCCATATCGGCGCTTTCGTCGTCGCCCCCGCGGTTTTAAAAGGCCGAAACTAAGCGGTTGAAGACCTCGCGTGTAAATAGCTCTGATTACCAAGTGTGAGGATCTGGATCAGGAAAGATGATTCTATTGAATGATTCACCTGAGTACAGCACGAGAGGCTATAAATAGCCTCGACACAAGGCTAGTTACCCAGGTGTTACGCGAATGTTCTGCGGGTCGCGAAGCGTCCCGAACAGAACCTTCCCGAACTCAGTAGAAAGCAATTCGGTGGAAACCGAATAGGCTTGAGTTCGGTACACGTAACCTGGTTTGGTGCTATAACTATATTAACATATAAGAAATGCAACTAACCTAGGAAATCAAGCATATCTATGCATGATATATAAAACCTAAGCTAGTAATAGCATAATAAAGTCCAAGCAAGCTAGCAAAGCCAGCATAAGCCGTCGTACTCTCACAACGACATTGCCGCCGGGGACGACGCCCTACCAGCTGCTGACTGGAAAGAAGCCCGACTTGTTTCTAGCGCGTGTGTGGGGCTGCATGGCCTAGTTCTTGGTTCTTGAGCAGCAGCGTGGTGGGAAGCTGAAGCCGAAGGCCAAGTTGGGCCTTCACCTCAATGTGTCAGAGGAGAGCAAGGGCTGGAAACTCCTCGATATCGTCGACAATCGGGTGGTCACCACGTCGGACGTGGTGTTCTACGAGAGCATGTCGCTGGAGGTGTGGAAGTCTGTTCACAGGCCGGCGTCAGGACGGACGCCGGTTCACCCTCCAACGGATACCTCGACGGCGACGTTGCCTCTGCTCGCCGAGGTCGGTGAGGATGCCGAGGATGTCCCCACTCCCTGCCCTTCACCTGCCCCTCCCTTTCTTGCCGACTTGCATGGGCTGACTTCGGCGTCGGCCTCCGGCAATGAGGGGAGGAGTGGGGCGTCACCAGTGGCGCCCACCCCAAACATCGCCGGTGGCCGACGCGATGCTGCGCAAGTCGGCGTGGGAGTAAAGCTGACGCCGACCGGGATGCAGCAGGTGGTGTAGCAAACTGGAAGTGTTGCAAACTGGAAGTCACGTACGACACGAGCAGGGGGCAGACTCAGGACCAGAACTGGACGCTGCAGCAAACACCTGACCCGACGCAGCTACCTGACCAGACGCAGCCACCGGACGAGACTTAGTGGTCAGTGTGTACAGGCTCGACCCCGACTGA